CTTTCAGCACCAAACCTCCTCCGTCCTGTCCTGGATAGACCTCCTGTCATCTGGCTTTCCTTGAGCCACACTTTGGAGGGCTCCTGTATGCATGCGTATACGTTAAAAGAAGTCGCTCTGCCTCTTCTCTTGCTGGTCTGCCTAAGTGTCAGTGGTTTCTCAGTGACTCTCAGAGAATTCTATCACTCCTTTAGATTTGGCACTGTGAGCAGGGTAAACCCAAACCATTCTGCTGTTCTAGACCACACGCTGGCAAAAAGGGTAAGCACTTCTTACCTTCAGATTCCTGAATCAGTTACCGTCTGTTCCTTTCTAAATGAAGGTTAACAGGAGAAAGGGGTCTGTGTGGAATAGTCCTGGGTGTGCTGACCTCAGTGTTTTTCTGGCTTGAGTACCCATTGTCCGATCCTTCCCACAAATGGTTTGTTTTCCTTTGCCTCTGTGTGTCTATGTCACGTGTCATGTGGAGGGCCAGAGGGTAGAACATGGGCCAAGCACCCCTGTAAGCCCGCTGTTCCATCTGGCCCACAGGCTGGTGAGTTTTCTATTTTTCATCAGACCAGGGTCTATCTAGACAAATGTTGCTTTGTGTCCCCTGACAACAAAAACAAAATGAGATTCTCCTATTGCCTTTTTTTTTTTTTTTGTCCCTGAGAGCTTGATCTGTGACCATTACGAGATCTCTCTCTCTCTATCTCTCTCTCTCTGTCCCTCCCATCTGAGTGGCTTCATTTTCACGTGACATCAGGTGGCCAGCCTGAAAAGGTTGGGAACTTGGGCCACGTAAGATTTTACACAGCAGGCCAGCCAGCAGCATGGTGGTTAAAGTGGTTGGATCCCACGTGGCCATCTATGCCACTGGAGTCCCCACCCATGAGGTCTGAACACATGCGTGCCACAAATTCCAAAAGGGGAATGGAGGAGAAGGGATTGTGGCGCGGCCATCCCCGGGGAGGTGTTTGCTCTCTTTCTCCGTCTCTGTGATGTGCGCAGATACCCTATAGCAAATTTTAAAATAATACAAAATATTTCAAGCAGCACACTGCACCAAGGTGTCAGGTTCTCAGCAGGCATGTCTTAATAAGGAGTCCCACCTACTGGCAGGCCCAATCCTAGAAGCGCCTGTGAAGGCTCACAGATTAGCAGGTCTGTGACTGGAGGCACCCAACATGCTGGATCCCACATGGCTGACCTTGTATCAGTAGTTCAAACTCTGGACCCAGCAGTTTGAAGAACACATTGGACTCAGGCGTGTATGTGCCTAAAATCTCTAAAGGAGAATAGAGAAGGGATTGCAATGTGACCGTTTTCTGTTGGAGGTGTTTTCTTGCCCCCACACCCACCCCAGGTGATTGCATGCCCTCTTGCAAAATTTAAAAAATATAAATAAAATCTCAGGGCCCCAGATGGTGTAATGGTTACATCATTGGACTCCCACATAATCGACCGCAGTTCGAGTCCTGGACCCGGCGGATTAAAACACATTGGTGCAGGTGCATGTGCAGCTGGATCCCACATGCCTGACTGCATGGTTTGAGCTTCGGACCTGACAGCTTGAAAAACACTTCTGGTGCAGTGTGTGCCCAAGTCCCAAGATGGGACTGGAGGAGAAAGGACTGTAGAATGGATTCGCCCTGGAGGGTGATTTCTCACTTTCCTTCTCTCTCTGTTTCTGTCCAGTGAACTCATGTGCCCTATAGTGACTTTTTCCTTTTTAATTATGTTTTTTTGTAGAGGTTTTTGCTACAGGGTATGTGTGCTCGCCAGAGAGACAGAGACAGAAGGCGAGAGATCACCCCCGGGGGGATGGCCACGCCGCAGTCCTTTCTCCTCCATTCTCCTCTTGGAATCTTGGACTCGCACGCACACGTGCCTAACCATGAGTTTAAGTCACTAGGTCTGGGACTCGAACTGCAGTTGACTACATGTGAATCTAGCGACATAGCTGTTGGTTCTGCTCTTTAATTTTTTAAAAGGATTGTTTATTTGGGGCCAGCTGATGGCATGGTGGCTAAGGCACTGGACTGCCACATGACCGACTGTGGTTTGAGTCCTGGACCTCGTGTTTTGCTTTCTCTCTCTCTCTCTCTCTCTGATCAAATTTTAAAATGACAATAATGACTGTAATTAAATAATGAAATAAGTTTTTAATTATTTCTTTATTATTAGTAGTAGTATTGTTATTAATTTGACCAGAGAGAGAGAGAAAGAAAGTGAGAAATCAAGCTGCCAGGTCCAGGACTTGAACTTCAGTCAACCATGTGGGAGTCCAGCACCTTAACCACCTTGCCACCTGCTGGTCCCCTCTTTTTTTGTTTAAAGAATTATTTAGTTTTAAACCTTTATTTATTTATTCTAATTTGACCACAGAGGGACAGAGAGAGAGAGAAAGTGAGAAAACAAGCTGCCAGGTCCCGGACTCAAACCACAGTCGGCCATGTGGGAGTCCAGCACCCTTAATAATCATACCACCTGCCAGCCCCTGGCCCCCTCTTTTTAATGCTTTTTTTAAATGAATTATTTTATTTAACTTTATTTATTTATTTTAATTTGAACTGAGAGGGACAGAGAGAGAGAGAGAAAGTGAGAAAGCAAGCTGCCATGTCTGGGACTTAAACCATGATCAACCATGTGGGAGTCCAGTGCCCTTAACCTCCACACCACTGCTGGCCCCTTTCTAATGTTTTTTTAAAAAGAATTATTTTATTTAACTTTATTTATTTAATTTGACCAGAGAGGGACAGAGTGCAAGAGAGTGAAAAAGTGAGAAAGCAAGTCACCAGGTCTGGGAATAGAACCGCGGCCAGCCATATGCGAGTCCCGTGCCCTTAGTCACCATCCACCTGCCAGCTCCAATTTTTTCACGTATTTTTTAATTTCCAGAAGATGCATGCTCTCACCAGAGAAAGAGAAAGCACCCCTCAATGTGGCATGGCACACTGCAACTCTGCCTTAACTTTCTCGCCCTGATGCTCAGCTGAGGCCTCATAGCAGTCCAGACAGGACCCAGCTCTGCTCCATCCTGAGGCACGCTCCCTCTGGTTGGGGTGGTGGGACCGTGGTCCCCAGCGTGATAGCTCTCCCATTTCCCCAGCAGGC